CTGAGGCCGGCACCGCCTCCAGCAAGATGCGGGCGAGGGGGAGACCCAGCACTGGAAAGGACGCTGACACTCCCGGGGCTGAGGGTTCCCTAAGGGACAGAGCACCGTGTGTCCCTCCACCTGCTCCTCACCAGCCAGTGTGGGCAGTCTGCACCCAGAGGGAGGATGTGTGGAGGCCGAGGCCCCAGGCACCAGCCAGGCCTGTGGTGAGGCCTCATAGGCGGGACCGCGAGCCTGTGGTGAGGGACAGGCCGTGACACCACACTGACACTGGACACACCGCCGGCCTGTGCCTGGGATGGCGGCCGAGCCGACGGTGAAAGAACAGCGTCTCCCTGTCACCGTGAACTTGCACTTTTCTCATGAATGTGGTTGGCACTTTTCCTGCGAACACTCTGTCCTCAGCCTGTGCCCTCTTCCCGGGCACGGCTCCCCTCCTGCCAGCCGCAGGCCCACTCCACACACCAAGGAGCAGGCCTTCCTCCTGAGCGGAGCAGCAGGTGCTCTTCCCACCTGTGTCTGTCCTGTCCTCCAGGTCAGGCTGGTGTCATTCCTGCAGAGCCGTCCGGAATAGACAGAAAGCATGGGTTTTGCTTTCTCCACGGCTACAGCTGTGAGTCAGAGAGCCACCTTCTCAAACACAAGGCAGCCTGTGACGAAGACAGAGGCTCGGCCAGCTGCCCCGTAGGAGCAGCAGTGGTGGGAGGGGCGGGTATTCATCCTGTGGACACTGCCCAGCCACTGAGTTCTCACCCCCAGGGGACACAGGCCCCGAGGGGACCAATGAAAGTAGCACTTTACAATGGTTATTATGACTGTGGGGATTCTACTTGGTTTCCATAAAAGTAAAAACAGGTTTAATCCTATTTTTAAACACTGTCTGATACACTAATGACAACACTGTTGAACTAAATACCTGTATGTTTTCAATGTAAAAACAGGTCAACGGCTCCTTTAGTGGTTGAAAAGGCATCTGGGACGGGCACGGGGACCTGCTGGATGGGGACCGATGGACATGGGGCAGGTGGACAGCTTTCATGTTCAACTGCTTCATGTGTAACGTTCCCCACGTCCCACTGAAAATGAAAGCCCTCAGCCTCCTGTTCCCGTCCCCTGGCTGAAGGCAAAGGTGAGGGCCATCACGTGACTTCGGGTGACGGCTCAGGTTTCCTGCAGCACCGTGA